GAAATTTAGGTCAATTATTGTATCTGCTAACCTTTTATCAATAATAATATGTATTAGAGTGGACGTTCGCTCTTCTCTATTTCTTAAACTTTTTTACGACTCACAGTTTTGCGCAAAAAACAATTTTGTGATCATTGAAATCTTAATTATTAATATTTTTTCTTCCGGTTTATTGATATTTTTGGATTGAGAATTTTTTGTCTTTAATAATTGGGATATATGCTTTTTTGTTATATGCATTTCACAAGTTTAAGTCTCTCTATATAAATTCTCAAATAAATGACAAAATTGAAAAAACCATCATAAAGCAGAATGAAATTGGACGATTAAATTTGTCAATTCACATAAAGACGTTTACCATATTGTAAGTATGCAATCTTGCACGGACCATCTAATTTGCCATTATAACGCGATAATAGTCAAATGGGGCAATGGTTTGCGGTTTAATTGGGTAACGGTTAAGCACACACAGGTGCAATTTACCGCGAGCTAAGTGAACTGTAACGAAGGTAGTCCATCGAATGAAGTGCTTTGGAAGTTGATTGACGAGAGGAGAACGAACGTGTCGCTAACAAAGTAATTTTTCAAACGAGCAAGCATTATTTCTGAGTTAAGCCGATGAGCGGGTTTATCGAACGTGTGCACGTCGGCAAAACAAATGCCGATTCAGAGCACATACATACATACATACATATAATCGTCCTACATTCACATGCAAATATATATGCACGTATATACGCGTCCGGCGGAGAGGCAGAAATTATATCCCATATCCGGCGTCGCAAATGAGATAATTTCCCGAGCGTGATGGAGATATCGTCACTCTTATAATTAAAAGTTAAGTTCCTAACTTCGGATTGCTCGATAACTCTTCTCATTATTCTGGAAAGCGAGTTTTTGCGGTCATATATGTATACTCGAGAACGTTGCTCTCTTCCGTCCATTTAGTAATGGTATCACGCGCTTTGCAAATAATCCTGACGTGTGAGATTATCGCTCCTGTCGGGGTCATAAAAACTCCATCTGCAGACGTCGTGGACGTCGCAATAACATTGTCTTGTACTTTAAAACGTAAAAAGGCAATATCCGTTTGCTGTATAACGGTGATATGGAAGAAAACTTACGCTTCTCCTGGGTATACGTTTTTAAAAATTGATGCTTTTACTACGGACACGACGGAACCGATGAAGTTGGCAAAAACTTTTTTATTCCGCCCTGAAATAACTTATTTTAATATTAATAAACAAAAGTTGTGACACATCACAAAACCCACGCTCTCAAGAGAAAAGAAGGAAGTTGAATAAGAAAACTGAAAAAGTCGCTTACTTCCGCGATTATTTAAAAAAAAAATGAGCTTCTCTCAATTTAATCTGAGCTGCGCAATAAGGTTTCTTTTACGGCGTACATAAGCGTCATCGAGTGATTTCAAGATTAATTGAAAAGTTCAGGAAACTCGCTTTCCGACAATCATTCAAAACATTTTTAGTTTCCTATACATTTTCTGGCTTATTAACACTCGTCGATCGTCGTGGAAGAACCGATGACGTGCGGCGAAAGCATGAGGAAAATACGAGTCGCAATGCACGTACGTCGAAGAGTCGTAAACCGTCAGCCGTAAAGCCGAAGCATTTACGAACACGTCGCACGCTGAAATCAGATTCTTTTCACAAGAAATTTTTTGATCGTACTAACAACTACAATATTCTGATTTTTTTTCCAAAAAACCTGATAATTATGATAATTTAAGAAGAAATTTAAATAACAAAAGGAGGGACGAAATATGCAAATATGCGAACAACAAACAAACAAATATGCAAATATGCAAGAGTTTGAAATTAAAATTACAAAATTTATTTCCTAACTTTCTTTTGTACAATAAAACACTTTACAATTTGATATACGATATCCCATCCTCAATTAACATTGTTCCATTTTACTTTTTGTAAATCCGTAATTGTTTAATGTATAAAAAAATTTTAATGTTTAAAATTTTTTTAAGTGCAAGCATTAGTAGTGTTTCATTAGAAAGAGAATAATGGTAAAGATACGAAATGATTAAGCGATAGTGCAGATTGCGACGTCGCTTGCAGTAATACGAAAAAGATTGAGATCAAGTGGAATCTTATAAGTCGTTCTTTTGTTCAACGTAATAACGCAATATAACAAATAGCATCTTGTTTTCAACTCTGGCAAACCTCCAGGCTGTTGCCGACATGAATTGTCGTTGAAAGCAATAAAAGGGACAAATTCAGAGAGGGTTTACGCGAAATAACATTTAAGATGTAATAGAAAACATAACGTACGAAGGAAAATGTATTAATGGATGTTTGTTTTAAAGCGAGGAAAATTTAAATAGATCATGTACATTTTGCATTTTTAGGAAAAATGCAAAAGCTTTGACCGGCTAACGAAACAGCAGAGACACTAGTTGCAAAATTTACATTTTATTTTGTATTTTTCTCCACAGTTGTACGTGCTTTCATGACGGCCGGATTTCCAGGAATATTTTCTCGCCTCTGACATAATGAAATATATAGCTAAATCGACTTCCTGTTATTCAAGCAGATATATTAATCTCTCAAGTGCCGTTTTTTGCTTTCTCATAACTAGAAGTGGCACTGTCCCCAACGGGTTTATTAATCCGATGAGCCGTGAGTGTAGAAATACGCAGCTGAATGTCGGTAGATTTATCACGAGAGAACAGAAACGGACGAAGACGAATGTCCCGTAACAATTAATGACTGTTATCCGACCACAATAGACGAGAGCATGCACGGAAAAGAATCATTGTTTGTTCCACGGTCACAATATATCGTGCCATCATTAATAAAGCAAGTCTATTTAAATCAAACATTAAAAAATACAATAGAAATAAATAATTGAAAAATTTAAATACAAATATAGCTAGATGATATTTTGATAGCAAATTTGTCAATGTGCTAATTTGTAGAATTTTAATTAGAATATATTCTGTTATGTTTATATTAAATTCATTCTTATTCTTATTGCAGCGCTGAAGCAGTTTGATAAATATAGAAATAAAATTATTAATAATCAGAGCGTAATCAGGACGTCATTGTCAAGCATTGCAATGTACAGTGTGTATTTATATTTTACACACATCCATTTTCATTTAATTGGATTCGTAGCAGGTCAAGCGTGAGAACTTTAAATTGCGAGATTATCTTCGAAATCCAGTCGCTGACTTAAATCCCGCAAAAAAAAAAAGAGAAAAACAAAAATCTCTCCTCTCATTTCCATTATAATGCGAATAATTCTTTCGTCGCTACGGCGATCTATAAATTGATTAGTAAAGTCCGTTCAAAGTCGACTTTAAGTGATGCGTAAAGCCGATTAAAACGCAACATCGGAAACTTGCTAATCTCGTTTAAAAATTATAGATAGCGGTGGTGTAGCTGAATTATAATCCGCGAAAAGATGGGCGAAATTACAACGACTATAACTACAGTTCGCGCTCGTTTCAGACTTCACAGGCGCAACCGTTCAAATTATTTCCTCGTTCTAGGGAAATTACTATCGTGCACTTTTTGCCGAGGTTCTTTGCATCTTCCTGCCGACGTTATCCGACGGCGACCGGCACGGCCCTTCCGGTAATTTGCTTTTTCCCTTCTGGTTTGCTTGGCTCCTTTCTACAGTGCTGCCCGCTACTCTTCTACTTTCTTGAAAATTTAATCGCGGAGCCGCGACGTCGCCTTTAATGCGATTCTTCGCCGCGTTCCTTCTTTTACCTTGCCTCGTTTTACCGAAGTTTTATTTCATGCCGCCGACATCCGCCGACGCGAGACTTTCTAAAAGAGCCATCCGCATCCGTTGCGGTTAATAACGGCAACCTTTTTCACAGAGAGAACACTCGCTAGATATCTTACGGTAGAAAGAGGAAAAAAAAACAAACCAGTGTGTTTCGGAATTATAGCGTCGGTTAATATCGCCAGCGCCACTGAAAAGCCGGAATAAATCGGTTTTCGATATTAACGAATGCGATTCCGGGGATTGGTTAGCGGAATTAAATACGTCCTCTGGTTTGGAGCGGAATCACGTTCTAAATTTCGCAATCGTAAGCTAGATCCGGGAGAACCAATTTCGACTCTTACATTCAATTTCGTCTTACTTCAACTCTCGGCTCAAATACGTTAACGTTTTAAGAATGCTTACGGTGAAACGTCTAATATGCTACCCAGTCAAACCAGTCGTGAAATTACGAGATATTACAAGATTCTGAATTGTAATTTTTGTGAAGGATCTTGGCTTTCGTAATATGACTCTGAAAAATGCTTGATTCTACAATAAATCTCATAAAGCGCGACATAAGCAAATATTCGTCATTTATATCTATTGAAATTTAAAAGATAACATAATAGGAGGTACAATAAGTCAACATTTTTGCTCTCACAATTTATACACATGAATACACATGAATGAAGCAAAATTAGGAAATTAATTTTGAAGGTATTTGCATATGATATCAGCATACAAAAATATATTGTACATATAAAAATTATTAAAAGTGGATTTAATATTGAAATGATCGAAATTGAATCGCTCTCTTCGAATTTATACATTCAGCAATATTTCTAATACGCGCAGGCGAAATCAACAACTGAAATTACTGTCTGCCCGTTTCACGTCGAATCAAATTACTTAGTCGCCGGCAGTACATAGGGTCGTAATTGCGAAGGAAACTTCTCAAAAGATGCTTAAGTTCAGCGCAACTTTCTTAGGCTCGTTCTCAAATTTACATTTTCCACGTTTTAGCGAGGAAGACTTTGCAGTCTGCGACGACTTTTACCGATGCAGTGCCACCGCCGACAGCATAATTAAACTTGTCGCATATCCTTTCGGGATCGTATCTATCACTCGGAGGATGAAGCTGCTGCCGCACAGCTCGCTGTGAACTACGTCGACACGTTCCATAAAATTTCATTACTTTTCCGCGGTAGTTATCGCGGCTCGTTAACATGCGATTACTTTTTGTTGAGCAGGAGCAAACGGATGCGCCGGACAGAATTGGCCCTGGAATGGTAATCGCGGCGCGGCTATAATAATGGCTACCGTGGCGGCAACCCTGTTCCTGATGATGACATCGCTGACGATGACGGTGCCCCCGATAACGAATGTACTGCCGAGAAGCGAGCCGGCGGTTATTAGCAGGTAGCTCACCGGCGCCCTCCATGAAGATATCGCTGCCATTGTCTGATCCGATTACATCGTCCATGTAAAACCTAGTAGTCTAGGGCTTCCAGTTATGTATGTTACTATGTATAGGATAGATAGTCGAATAACCATGATTTTTATTCTCGAGGAGCCTATAAAAATGAGGAGGATCGGTGAAACGCCAAGCGGATCGACGCGAGAGTATGCGTAAACTCATATACACAAGTTACTTTTGAACATGTTGTCTTTTGATGTGAATTGTTGATATTAAGAGGAAAGAAAGAGAAAAACAAAATGAAACATAGAACAATTTGTCCGTTTGTCCGCGATCCGAGACAGGAGTAATGGCTACACGCAACGAGGTGAGCATGAAATTGTTACAGGCCGAAAAATCAGCTTCATCGAGTGATCAAGTGATCGGGATTAGAGAGTGACAGATGTTTCGATAGCGGAGGGAGTGGCGAGAAAACGATGGAGATTCGACATTATCGTTTTACGTTAATTTGAATTTCTTCGACGGAACACACGTCGGCTGCTATAAATGCGACATTTATTAGTGATCGGAGAGTGTTCACCAAGTGTCAAATATAGATTATACAGGGGTAACTATATAATAACTGATATTATAACGTTAGCGCAGTAACGAGCGGCGTTCTGCTCAAATATTTGCTCCTTTTATGATGTCTAACAGAAAAAAAATGCATCAAGATAGGTACCGATTTGTAATCTGTACAAATTGTAATAAATTATAATATGACGTGTACACATGGTGTTCTGCTTCATTGCGTATCAATTCTACATCGCTACATTTTCTATATTTTTTCATATATCTGCATGTATTTCCTCATCAACAAAGAAGATGAATTCGAATTTGTGGTAAGTGCATTTTATCTTTATTATTAAAATAATGATCTATTTTGTATTCTAAAACGCCCCATTTTTAGTAACATTTACATACACATTTTGTTAACAATATAAGCTCAATATTAAAGAGCAAAATAAATTGGGAATGAGATAATTTCAGGTTGGTGTGCTTTTAAAACTAAGCCTCAATTCAAAAGATGTCTTCAACCTTCCATGCCTTCAAAGCGAGTTAACATTGACTCATCCACTTTACGCGAGTACGCGGCGCGTTTACGGGAAGCACTCTTAGCTTTCGCGGCACAACGGTTTAGCATAAAAATAATTATCATCTGGCAGCGTCGGGTATGCGCTTCTTACTGCGGAAACGATTCTGCATCCCACTTTGCAGGAACGTTTTAACCTTTACGACTGCCCATGTCAGTTCTACGAGAATCCTAATTGGACGAATCTCGGGTCAGATCGAAGTACCTGACATTTAAAAGCACTTTTCACTCGTCAAACGAGAGTGCACATGCACCTTGGTTATGCAATACGTTAAAGTAGCCCTATTTGATCGGTTCGTATAAATTAAAACTTTTTAAATTAAAAATTTGCTTATTATCTGAAACTCAGAAACACAATCGGATGAAGGGAGCAAAGAAAGTTCCTCGAACACACAATAAAAGCAGCAACGAAATAATTAGCTTTTGTCGCTTTGAACATTACGAGATATTATTTATGCGCTTATAAATTTCTGCATTATGCATTTTCCAGAAACCTCGCTATACTTCTGTAAAGTAAAAAGACCGAGGCGCGATGAGTAGTTTGGAAAGCCTCGCTGAAAGTCGAATAAAATCTTATAGACAAGGAGGGAAAGGCGGGGAAAGGCGGAGAAAGACGGATAGGGAGAGAGCTCGGGAGAAGTCATGAAAGTAGTTGGATTAGCTGCTCCGAAGGGATTGGCAAATTGCAGGGACTGGCTTATAAGCGTTTCTACCGGTAAATTAGGTCGCTCGTAATTTCGCCTCTCCGCGAAGCGGTATATCGCCCTTATATGATGACAGTTTGCAGCGTTGCGGCAAGGACGATGAAAACGTAATTGCGATCGTCGTGGAATTGACATTAATCAAACACGCACGGAAACGTAACGGGAGCAGGTGGTCGTTC